GACACAGGAAGTACCTCTCTCTCTCGGGGAAGCTAGGAGCACTGCAGGAGGTAAGATTTTATCTCTGAGCTCTGACCTCTCGGCTTTTCTCTTTTACCTTGGCTCTGTGTTTCTTATTTTAATAATACGATTGGTTACATCTACATTTCATAATTAATAAGAAGTCTCCGTGTAGTTATTTGTGGGCTGGCAGCTGACGAGAAACTATTACACACACACACACACACACACACACACACACACACACACACACACACACACACGTGCACTCATATACATATAAAAATATATACACACAAGTAATAATATTATTATTATATTAAACCAGACATGGTGACTCATGCCTGTAATCCCAGGGTATCATCACAAGTTCTAGAGTAGTCAGGTTACTTACAAGTAAGTTCTAGGCCACCCTGGGCAACAATGTGAGGCCTTGTCGCAATAAATAAATAGGCTGCTTTTGCCTGCCCACTTTCAGTCCTTGCCTGTGAATGCATCTACTCTGTTGCAGACACTGTTGCTGCCATCGTTCCCTTCAGCCTTCCCATGTGGACGGAAGACCAGCAACTCTCCAGAAATCCTCCCAGCCCTCGGCATCAAGTTGAGCTGCTAAGGATTCAGCCTTCTGAATCAGCAGCTACTGGTTCACAGCTTTTCCAGTGTGCAGACAGCCATTATCGGGCTATTCCACCTGGATTGTGTAAACCAGCATAACACATCACTTTCTAGTAAAAACATTAATTGATTGATCAAATAATTGTTACACTGGAAGGGCCGAGGATGTGGCTCGGTGGCAGAACATTTGAGTAGGATGCAAAAGGCCCCACTTTTGAGCCTGAATGCCACAAAAGAGTTGTCTGGGTAGTTTCGTGTCAGTGGTGATAGTTGGAAGTACACCAGGGTGAGCAAAGTCCTAGGATGAAGTGCTTTTCTTTGCTTTCTAGATGTGGCCACTAGAGCTGGTTCCTGTGATCCAGGCAGCCCCAGAGCAGTCTGAGGCCAAGCTGGGCAGGGCTCCACCTAGGGGACTGTGTGTGTTGTGAGGTCTGGTATGGGGCCTCATCTCCGGCTCGGAATACAAAGAGGCTCCTGAAAGGCCCAACAAGGGGGCAGTGGACCCAGCACAGACCCAGCCGGCCACCACACAGTCCCCCCTCCCCCAGAGCTACACTTGCCTCTCCTGTGTCATCTCAACAGTGCC